CGCCCTCGGGGCCCCCGCCGGGCCGGCACTTACGCGGAAGAACCCGGCGTCCATCTTGGCTCCTCCGCCTCCTCCCGGCCGCGGCGCGCGCTGCCGTCCCGGCGTGCACCGCGCGCGCCCTCAGCCGCGCCGGGCGTGTGGGGAGGGGGCGGTGGGCGGGGCCAGGCGAGAGTCCCGCAGGTTGGTTTTTTTTTTTTTTCCCTCCGCAGCCCGCTGATTGGCGGACGGCCGGCGCGCGCGCGGGGGCGAGGGCGTCAGCGAGCCGCGCTCTCGCGAGACGTTGGCCCCCCTTCCCGCTGCTGTTGCCGGCGGTGGTGTCTCGCGAGATCTCCGCTGCCCTCACGGCCCGGCCCGGCCCCGCCGCCATCGCTGAGGGAGCCGCGGCCGTGAGGGCACCGCCGCCTCAGCCCCGGCAGCGAGCCCTCCGCCACGGCCCCTCGGCTCCTTCCCGGCGTCACAGAGGTCCCTGGGCGCAAGGCAGGGCTCTGAAGAGTCACAGAGTCCCAGAGGAGTTGTGGTTGGAGGGGACCTCTGGAGATATCCCAGTTCAGCCCCCTGTCAAGGCAGGGGCACCTGGAGCAGGTGGCACAGGGACACGTCCAGGTGGGTTTGGGATGTCCCCACAGAGGGAGACTCCAGCCCTCCCTGGGCAGCTGTTCCAGGGCTCTGCCACCCTCGTGGAAAGAAGTTCTCCCTCATGTTGGGCTGGAACTCGTTGTGTTTTATTTTATGGCCATTGCTCTTCGTTCTGTCCCTGAACAGAGCCTGGCACCATCCTTGGGCATATTTTATGGATTTATGGGATGCCCTCCCAGCATTCCCTCCTCCAGAATAACCAGGCCCAGCTCCTGCAATCTCTCCTTGTCAGGGAGATGCTGCAGACCCCAAATCATCTTTGTGGCCTCCAAGGGGCTCTCCAGCAGCTCCCTGCCTTTCTGGCCTGAGGAGAGGTCAGGAGCTCTCCACCCCATCCCACTCGGGACAAACTGGAGTGACTGGTGTAGGTCACTGATCCGTGTGGCTCCTTCTGGGCTGAATTTCGGGCACATATTTGAGAAATAAATTGGTTTTGTGGCTCAGGAATAAAACCCAAGGGAAATTACCATATTTTATCTGCTTAGACTTGTAACCATCTGAGTCTTGCACGGCCAAACTTGGGACAGTTTGACTCAGCTGCCCTGGCACCGTGGCTGAGGGGGGTTAGTAAAGGTGAGAGCTGAAGCTGGAATTGCTTTATGTTTTTGTTGAGGAACAAATCTGTTGAGGAGTTGGAACCCGTGGGAAGGCAGGAGGACACTAGGTGGAGCTCCGTGCTCTCCACTGGGATAAGGAGGATGGAAATAAGGGGGGAAAGCTGAGTTTTGGGGTCAGGATTTACCCAGCAGTGATATTTTAAACATTTCACCGGAGTATCTGGATCAGTGAAATTCCAGCTGGAGGATCTGACCTGCTGAAGGTCCTGCAGAGCTTTCAGGAGGAAAAAACAATGATTGATTCTTGCAAGACAGGGCCAGCTGCAGGGGAGCACTCCCAAAATCTTGGCCAGTGGGACCTGGGGGCCAAACCAGGACAGGCTGGATCAGCAGGGCAGGCAGAGTGTGGGACTGTTCCTGGAAAGCACCAATCCACAGCAGATGGCACAGAGCAGGGCTTGTTGCTCCTTGGGAAGCTGGTTTTGCTGCCAGGAGGGGTTGTGGGGCCTCCAGGAGGTGCCAGTGTGATGCAGATTTTGGTGGTGTTTGGGTTTTTCTGCTGGACTGTGGTCCCAGCAGCCAGTTCTGCTGCCAGGAATGGGAATTCTGTGAACCTGGAACTGCTTGCAGGAGCTCTGCTTGTTCTGCTTGTGAACTCTGTTGGCTTGAAAGGAAGCAAATGGAAAGTAAACAAAATTTGCTACGAGTAGGTCTGGCTAGGGATGTTAAAAAAAATAACAGTAAGATGGGCTTATCTTCCCCAAAAATCTTGATTTTGATCCCATGGAACTGCTCAGAGGACATCCAGAGACGGAAACAGAAAATCAGTTCCTTTATATTTTTTTGGAAAAAAAAAATTAGATATGCATCTGCTGTCCCTTCTGAATTCTTAAATCAATCCTCCCTGCCACAAAAAATAAGGTACAGAACCAAGATGAGAGAAGTATGTACAAGGAGATTCAGAAACTTCACAAACAGCTGTCTCAATATTTGGTTTGGAATCCAAACTGTGCACCAGTTTCAGCCAAAAAAAGAATATTGCAAACTAATTGAATTTCGTTTCTGCACAATAAAAATTACCAGTTAGTTAAACTGACCTGCTCAAGAGATCCAAGCTTATTGGAAAAAACCACAAAATATAAAATCTCAGCCAGTCTGGCAGTCAGTGTCTGACAATGGTGCTGTGTTCCCACCCCGTGGGCTGAGAGTGTCCCTGGGAATTCCTTTGTGCCACTGCTGCACACCCACAGCCCTCACACTCACAAAACAGCCTCGCTGTGGCTTGGTTTTGAGACTAAAAAATGGCTAAAAATAGCTGGGCTGCACCAGGGAGCAAAGCCTTGCAGGGCGAGTGGCACACTGGGCTGCTCAGACCTCCCTTGCTGTGTCCAAGCTGGTTTTTTCTATTTTTTCCATTTCCATGCTTATTTTTTTCAGTTAAAGAACTCAGATTTGTGTAAGACCAAGCATTGTAAGACAGCTCCAGCCATGAACCTGAACTGTGAGTGAGCCCCCTCAGACAGCGAGTTCCTTCAGAAAGGGACACTTACAGAGTTTACAGGAATAGTTTAAAATACTTGAAAATAAGAAGTAACTTTTTTTTCCTCAACCTGTACATATGTGAGATTAGAAACATGACATATGAATAAAGATAAATACAATTTTGATACCTCCTGTACTACCCATCAGGTATAAAATAAGCCACAAACCTCTTGAATGTAACTCAGGTCCAAACTTGGGGCATGTCCAGACTTTCCCTCCAGTTCATCAGCAGAACAGAGAGGGTTCAGAGTCTCTGAGGAAGCAAAAGCTCCCCAAAACCTGGGCATCTTCTCTTCCTGGTTCATCCAGACCCAGAGGAGACCTTGCTGCCATCCTGGTGATTCCACCTGTCATTTCAGTCCCAGGAAAAGTGTCCCGACCTCTGGTTTTTCCTCCCAGAGCAAGAAACCAGGATTTGTGTCAGTTTACAGAGCCAGTAACATCTGCTGCTCCCAGAGCAGCTGTCTGAGGAGTCCCAGCTCCGCGGGATACCAGTTCCATCTCCACGGGATACCAATTCCATCTCCTCTCTGCAGGAGCTGCCGTTACCTGCTCTGCAGGTGGATGTCCACGGGGATGAAGGTCACCGCGGGCTGCTGCGCCAGGCTGTGGCTGCTGTGCCCCACAGCAGGTGGCACTGCCAGCTTGGAGGCTTTGGGCTGCAGCTCCCGCCGCACTCGCATGCGCCTGGCAAAGGTAAAAGGGCACTTGGCACCTGGGGTGGTCTCTCCTCTCCCAGGGGAGTTTTGGGGAGGTTCCCACACAACCCAGTCAAACCAAGCCAGGATTTCATCCCTGAGGTACCAAAAGTTCTCCCAGAGCTTGTGAGCTCTGAGAATTGAGGAATCAAACTCCCTCTCTGGCAGCCTTGGTGCACACTCAGACCTTCCCTGCATCACCTAAAAAGGTGTTTAGGGGTTTTTTAGGAATCCCTAAAAGGAGCTCCCACCACAAAGCCTCCATCAAGGAGCTCTTTGTGCTTCCTGAGATCCAGCCACAGAGCAGTGACAGTGACATTCAGTACACTGCAATCAGCACTTCAGTGCTTAGAGTCTCCTGGAAATTTTCAGCAGCAAGCCTGAAATGCTGTGTTAGCTTTGGTCCATCCTGTTTGACCTGGTCACGTACCTGTTGTATGTTTTCAGGATGAGCAGAACCACTGTGAAAATAATAATCACCCCCACCACAATGGCAGCAACTATTGCTCCAGAACCTGGGAAAGAAGCAGGAAGGGGAAAAAAACCATATTTACAAAGTTGTCACTGTAGTGTTTGAAGTTTGATAAGTTCAAAGTCCACTTAAAACCAAAAAAAGCCACCACCCCACTCCTTTCCTTACTTTGATAGAGACTTTGTTCTTGAGACTTCGTGGTCACATTCACTGAGAGCTGAGTGTTATTGGTCAGTGGCGTGGCCGTCGTCATCTTGAGCTGGCTGCAGAGGGGAAAGAGGAGTGAATTCCCAAAATCTTAACCCAAATTTCACAGTGCCAATGAGGCAACTGCCCACCAAAGGCTCAGAGCCTGCCAAGTGCAGGCTCACTGAACTGAGGTTCTTCATATTGTGGTGGAAACCTGGCCCTGCTGAAGGAATGGAAATTGGAAATTGGTATGATGGAAACTTTGGTACAATCTTGAGCAATTTGCCTAAAGTACCCCCGGTCAGTGTTAATAGGATAAAATAAGATATAAACACAGTAAAGTGTTTTAAATGCTTTGAGATTTTAGATTATCACCTCTGATCACTGAGCAAATGAGTGTGAAGGATTCTGCAGCATTCAGCAATGTCTTGAGGGAAGGGAAAAACTGACCACAGAAAGGTTCAAAAACTCCATTATAAAATAGAATTTAAAGGAGCTTAATTCATGTGACATGGAGAAGAAAAACCATTTAACCCCTTCACTTGAGCTCCAAAAGTGTCAGGACAAACACCAGCCCTGAACATTGCAACGTGGCTGTGAGTTCAGCCCAGTGTCAGCTCAGGTCTGTTATTGGAGGTGGATGAACTTCCAAGGGCACAGCTGAAAACATGCCTGTGTTTTGGTGGGTAAAACTGTGGATCTGGAAAGAGCAGCTGGGATGTTTGCTGGTTTTAAAAGGGTTTTCCAAGTGTCCCTGGAAACCCGAGCCATTAAAGGGCTCCTTCAGCCCGAGAAGGGTGTGAGCACCACTTCAAAGAGCCCTCTGGAACCAGCTCAGCTCCCAGTCCCAGAGCTGAGACACTCCAACTGCCCCTTGAAAAGTAAATTACCCTTCAGCACTTGATATGGAACTGAGTTTCCCACTTCAGATGCTGCTCAGTACAGCCAGGCAAGATCTGGTGCTCCTTTGGGATATTGTGTGGCATGGTGACTTCAGTTTTACACAGCACAAGATAAACAATAGCCAGAAATAATTCAGTGGAAATCAGTTAGTAATAAAAATTAATACCAATTAAAAATCTGCAGAGCAGGTCAGTGAGGAATGAGAGGGATCAGGAAGCAGCAGGAAGGGAAGTGGTTGGTGTCTGACTGGGATGCAGGATCAGAACTGCAAGGGCCACTCTTCAAATACTCCAATCCTCTCAAGTTAAAAGTTTGGTTTTCTTCTTTTAATCTAAAAACCAAAATAACTTTGCCACAAGCCTGTAACTGGGTCATTCTCCTGTGAGTGAATGATTCCTTTGTTTAGCCAAGGCCAAGTTAATTCAGCAGCATGAGCATCAGCTGAAATATTTTGTGTTCAGACTCTGCCCAGCCCTATTGTCCAGCACAGGGCTCACACACACCTCAGAGGGACCTGGGAGGCACCAGAGCTCGGGGACAGCTGTTCCTGTCTCCTCACCCATCCTCCCATGTGGAAAATGATTTAACCAGTGGCAGCAGAGGCTCAAGAGACTCTTCATGAAAAGCTGAGCAAGTGTTCTGACTATGGGCATGATTCAGGAAAAGCCACATCCAGCTCTCACCTTGTGGCTCTTGACTCAGCCACTGCAAATGCCAGACCTACAGAAGCCTTTTTTTCCTTCCTCTGGCTACCAAAATAAAAACTCCAAATAAATAAGGCTGAATATTTTAATATTAAGCCATGAAATATTCATCCTTCCTACCTTTCCTCTGGGTCAAACCGCCTTGGGAATGGGGAGCTGTTTGTGCATGAGTCACCCAGAGCCAAAGAATTTTTATTGTCGTAGTGAAACCACCTGTTTACGAAAGGGATTAATTCATCCAGCAGGCTGCACCAATCTGAGGTGCAGTTTGAAAACTGCAGCAGGTTGGGATTTTTCTGCTTTGTGTAGCAAGTCAAGAGCTGCAAGGTCTGTGTGTCCAGCCAGGGTGGAAGGTGCCAGTGCTGCTCTTACCTGGAGTCCCAGCTCCATTCCTGCCCTGTGAATCAGCAGAGTACACCTGACCAAGCCTCTGCTCCAAGAAAGACCCAGCAAAGCCCAGCAAAATCCATGGGAACCTACTGATTTTCAGCCTGGATCCTACTCTGTTCAAAAAAACGTTTGGAAAATCAGGAGTGCTGGATAAAAGCCATGCAGCAGGGGAGAAGAAGTGGACTTTGATACAGTAATCACAGGACATTCTTTGTCCATGACACAGGGCTGCACTTCCCCCTGTGCACACACACCTGCCTGGCCTCTCAGAGCCTCTCATTCACCCTCACTCTCCACACTGCTGGTTATTTTTGCATCCCCACGTTATGGAGCTGGAAATGTTTCCATAAAGTTCAGTTTTGGGCACGTTTCCATTTCAAACACCTTGGCAGATACAGGGGATAGGTTGTTCTGGCAAGGGGGAGCAGTGCCCCCTTTTCCAAAGCCTCCCTTCTGGACTGAGCTGAGGGGCCCTGCTGGGCTGGGTTTGTTTGTGAGGGATGGGGCTCAGGGCTCACCTCTCAGCAGCACCTGGCAATGACAGCACAGGGGCCACAGGGAATGTTTGAGGGTTTTTCCAGGGTGGCTGGACTGGGAGAGGCAGCTCAGGTGCTGCTTAGGGGGACACAGATGCAGTGCTTTCACCTGGGGAAAGGTGGGGTTTGCATGGAGCTGGGCTGTTCCTGCCCTCAGCTTCCCAGCACCCCGGGAACACCGCCAGGGATCGAGGCAAGCTGTGATTTCAGGGAGTAATGAAAACACAACGTCCTTCAGTGAGACCTGAACGTGCCTGGGTTTACCTTGAGAGGCTCCAAAGAGGGAGGAAGGAGGAATGAAAAGCTCAAGTTCAAAGTGGCCTGAGGCAAACAACCCTCCCTGTGTGAGCCTGAGTGTCCCCATGTCAGGGCAGCACCTTTACATAAGCATTTTCTCAGGTTCTGGCATGAGCTGCCCAGGTTGAGCTGCTGCTAAAACACATTAAAAAGCAGTTCATTGCCTTGCCAAGACCAGAGACAGTGGCACAAACTGCAGGCAGCTCTGGGCAGTGGCAGCACCAACTAAAAACCCCTCAGTAATTTTACCTGCCTGGTTTAGAGCGGCACTAAAATCCCTCAGCTCCCACAGGTAGAGAAGAAGTGACAACAGGACCCCCAAAAGGAACACCCTCATTTCTAAAGCCTGGAAATATAAACTTGCTAGACTTTTGTCACTGACTCGCTGAGGGGCAGTGTCTAAACCAGACTGTGAACTGCACATTGCCCATTTAGATTTTCTTTAAAGCCAGCAATTAAAGGGTCTTTAAAAAAGGAGGGAGATGGGCTTTTTATGCAGGCAGCACAAGGGGGAATGGCTTCCCACTGCCAGAGGCAGGGTTAGATGGGATATTGGGAAAAACTTCATCCCTGTGAGGATGGGCAGGCCCTGGCACAGGTGCCCAGAGCAGCTGGGGCTGCCCTGGATCCCTGGCAGTGCCCAAGGCCAGGCTGGACACTGGGGCTTGGAGCACCTGGGGCAGTGGGAGGTGTCCCTGCCATGGCAGGGTGGCACTGGGTGGGCTGTAAGGTCTTTTCAAACCCAGCATGTTCCGTGATCCTGTACGTGAAGAATTCTGTACACAAAGGATCCACACAGAAATGCAGCTCCTCTCACTGCACACAGCAGCAGGAGGCACCCCAGGGTTTCTTGCCTATGCCAGCTTGTTGAATCAGTGAGGCACCTTCCCTCTGCAGAGCCCTGAAGACACACACAGCAGCTGACACCTCACACTTGCAGCCTGATCTCCACCAGAACCCCTTGGCAAGCCCTCAGTGCCCCAGTGTGGCACCCACAGAGGGACAATAACTCTGTCAGACCCTGAAGTCACTGCTCTCTGCTCTGCCTTTGTCTCCTGGTTTGTAATCACTAAATCAACCCCTCCTGCCACCTAGCACAATGCATCTCATCAGTGAAAGCTGTTTACAAAAAGCTACACTTCCTTTAGCAAGGACTTCCTGGGGCATTAAATACATTAATTACCAGGAAAAACCAGAAATCACCATTTAAACCTGTCAGCAGCTTCAGTGTGTTCCCAAATAATGCAAGCAGAGTAGTTTTGTTCTGTGCTGGAGACACTCAGTGAACTGTAACACAATGCTCTGAGCTTTTGAGTTCTTTTCCTGTTAAATATTACTCTGCCAGCTCTTTCCAGCACGCTGCTCAGCAGACTGGAGAAAAAAAGTATAGAACAAAAAAAAAACCAAAAAACCAAGAAACAAACCCAAAACCACAAACAAATAACCACCAACAAACCCATATTTATAGTGCCAGGGTTGAATAAGTCATGACAAGAGATTGAGCGTCCCCAGCGATGAAAGGACACCGCCGGCGATGGAAGGAGCTTTCAACAGCCGCGCAGGCTTCTCTGTCTCCGGGAGGAAACCCCGCCGGAGCAGCCCCGGTGCCGTCCCCGACGGGCTCCCAGTTAATGCAACAACTGCTCGAGCACCAGTTGAAAAGAAAAACGTGCGAGGACATCTGCTCTCTATTTCTTTCTGGTTTGGAGGTACCGATAAAGAATTCGTGTTTCCCGTGGTACATCCACAGAGCCTCGCACGCAAACCCGGAGTAACCGCGCTGCAGCCGCCGCTGGGAACGGCGGCGGAAAGGGAGAGAGCTTTGGGGCAGAAAGGAGCGGAGCTTTGGGGCAGAAAGGAGCGGAGCTTTGGGGCAGAAAGGAGCGGAGCTTTGGGGCAGAAAGGAGTGCAGCTTTGGGGGGAAAGGAGCGGAGCTTTGGGGCAGAAAGGAGCAGAACTTTAGGGCAGAAAGGTTACAGGTATCCCCGTTCGAGAGCGGTTCCCACACCCGACCTCAGCCGCGCTACTCACGAGGATGCTGCGGGCTCGGGGCTCCGGCGCTGCCGCAGCGGCTCCCGCTCCGTCCGCCCGCCGGGGCTGCGGGGCTGCC